TTTGTTTTACGGTCTTGTTATGCAAATTTAAATTTATATACTATATTGCAAAATAAATGCTGCAATTGTATATATTATATTATATATAAAATTATATATAATATAACCCTCCCATGGGGTACACCTTGTCGTGGTGGGAGGGCTTAGTACTTGGATGGTGTCTTGAGATTTATCTTAAATTTTTCTATTTACGATAAATCTTATGGTACCTGAAAGGGAAGCGAAGTACCCTTTCGCGTCGTCGGTGCCGTCAACGTGTCGCGGACGGCTGCGGTTCGTAACCGCGTTTTCGCGTTATAGTATTCTCGCGTTATCGCGTTTTCGCGTTTTCAAAATCCCAATTTCATTTTTGTCAACGAGTCTCTCCTTCCGACGCCAACTAAGTGGGATGTTTCATCGAGTCGTTGCTTTGCGACGTACTCGCGCCTTGTGCAACGTGGCACTTGGTGATGCCGGCCGCGCAGAACGTAGGTCCAGTACAAAATGTACATGGGCGCGCGGGTTCGATGCTTCGCGCTCGATCGGCTTAGTGATGAACACGCTCTGCTTCGTCAATTGATTTGGCCCGAATCGGTTAGAACTCGATCGATTGTTCGAAATGGTCGTCAATGGGTCCCTTCTCTTTGCTCGTCTACCTTACAGCCACACGCCTAGCGTGTGTTAACCCTGTCGAGGAGTCGAGTGGATTCCCCTAGGCACGATTTTCGCTCGGTAAAAGGGGTTGCCTCCCCATTTTCTAAATTGCTGAATGTTAGCTTTTAAAAAATGTGGGTATCCTCTTCTTTTACCGTCTATCAGCCTTGTGTATTGCGCTAGTGATATAGCATCCGTGCGGGTCACTTGAAATCGTGCTTAGCGGGTCCAGGTTCGATACGAGATAGGATAATTATGCGCGAAAAAGAGCTGGTGAACTTTATTTTCCTCTATTCCGTCAATCGTTTCGTCTTCTTTCCGGTTCGGGCCTAATCTTTGCTCGTTGTATCGTTGCATTCTCGACCTGTTGGTTCGAAATTGATTCTCGCGAAATGAAATGGGATTTTCGCTCGTACCGAAACCGGGAGTGTCGGACAAAGTATATATATATTAAATATATACATCGCGCGACAAAATTTTTAATCGTATCGAATTAGTGCGGGAGTGCCGTTTAGTATCGCGCGTAAAATAACGAAAATAGCGATATAAAAATATCGCTCGTGTGTGCGGGAGTGCCGTTGAAAGTATCGCGCGTCAACAACATGAGAGGAGGAGGAGGCCTGGGAGAGGCATCTTGCATCGGCGGAGCAACCTGATGGTGAATATTTATTATTTGTATATCAATTGTTATAAATCGTACGCATAATAATTCGATCTTATTATTTAAATGAATTAAAGAGAAAATTAGAGAGAAAGATTTTTATAAAAGTTATATAAAACTTTGTAAAAAACTTTCTTGAAAAACAGTTTTAAAATTTTATAAAATTTTTCCGCACGTGTTTATCTCTGCTTATTATTTTACACATCGGATATAAAATTCCGCGCGATAAAAATTTTTTGAAATATTGATTGCATTTTGTGAGCATTAATATAAATGAATTTTATATTTGTATGTTACAGACAATTAGCTTCGATAACAACAACTCCGCTGTTGCGCATCAGTGCCGGTGAGTGAGAAAAACTTTTATTTAACTTTAAGGTAACGGATTCGTAGAGATTGTAGATGTAGATTGTAGATTGTAGATTGTAGATTGTAGATTGTAGATTGTAGATTGTGAATTGTAGAGTAAGTTCGTTGCCTTAAAATGGATGAGCTAGGATAGATTAAATTAAATAACTTTTAATAAATTCTTTCGAAATGCTTTGCATCTATTGCGAAAATATATTGAAGTATTAATTTAAAAAAGAGAATCAAGAAAAGAAATTTTTTTTTGTAAAGACTTGACTAGTTTATTAAATCAAGAGCACGCATTAATAATTTAAACAATTTTATCAATTTTTGATACTATTTTATTCTTATAACGCGCACTTATTTTATTCTAATTTCTTATATCATAGCTCATCCATTGTAGAATTTGTTTGTAGATATTGTTTTTAAATTTTACTTTAACTTAAAATAAAGCCAAACGATTAATTAATTATATAATTTGTAATATCATAAAAGTTATACACGTACATGAATTTTATATTTTATTAGAAAATATAGTATATAGAAATTTGTAATAATTTGGCTTTATTTGAGTTAAAATAAAGTTATATTCAAATATTTAAGAAACGATCGTAAAATCGAGCGATCGTTACGATGAGCGTGAAATATTTACGCTCATCTGCCAGTAATTAATCGGCAAAATAAGGAGTGTTTATCTCCTTTTTCGATCTCTGATTAGAGATCGAGAGAGAAAGTGGCCAGAATCAACGAAAAGTAAGTTCAATTGGCCTGAAGAAAAGCTTTACGTACAATAGTACGTAATGTCGGACATTTATTCACGCGGTTAGGGCATGCGGTTAGAGAATGTAATTAGGGCACGTAATTAAAATATACGTGATTAGAGATAGGCTTTTTTCGAATATTTTCACTTAATCGAGAAATAGGATTGTTAGGACTATTAGGTGATCATTAGGTTTTTTTCCTTTCAAATTCCTTTCTATTATGTCATGCTATTAGGTCATCATTAGGTTTTTTCCTTTCAATTTTCCTTTCAAAAAGTAGAGGATTGTTAGGCCTATTAGGTGATTAATTTAGCTGATTTTATATTATGTATCTTTTAAGGAATCAGGAAATGTAAGTTTAAATAATATTAGGGAAAACAAATTAATAAATATTTCAATAATTATATTATTAATATTAAGAATTTGTAAGGGATCAATATTTTTTGAGTGTTTTTTTATAGGTATTTTATTTATATAAGGATGAAAATTAAAATGTTAACACTCTATAATTTGTATAGTAATACGAATTTTTTTGCGAAATTTTATGTACTTATGTAATACGAAATTTATGTTCTTTTATGTAATACAAAATTTTAAATGAAAAATTTAACATACAAATTTATATATTAAGCTATTTTTTAGTAATATGAATAATAAAGTTCGTATATTTATGAATTTATAAGTTATTTTTAAATGTAGAAATTGAAAGATTTAAAATAGAATTAAGAATGATATTAAAGAATAGATATTAAAGAATGAATAGAATAGGAATAATTTATAGGAAAAGATTTATTATTAAAATTTCAAAAAAAAATTTAATTTAAATAATATTTTTAAATAATAACTTTTCGAAAATTTATATATTCATTTATTTATATATTTATGGTTTTAATTTAAATTGTAATTTTTACAAAATTTATATATTTATATATTTATATATACATTTAAGGTTTTAGTTTAAATTATAATAATTTTTATATAAAATTTATAAGTTTATTTTCTTATATATAGATGTTTGTGTATTTATGCATTTAAAGTTTTAATTTAAATAATAATTTTTATATAAAATTTATATGTTTATTTTCTTATATATAGATGTTTGTGCATTTATGTATTTAAAATTTTAATTTAAATAATAATTTTTATATAAAAATTTATATATTTATATATATTTTGAGATATATATAATTTCATTAATTGTATTTCATTAATTTTATTTATATAAATTTATCTAAACAGCTTATATTATTAAAGTTTAATATCGAAGATATTAAGAAAATTATTTTTTTCAGATATTTGTGAATATATATTGAATGTATATAATATTGAATATAGTGAATATTATGAACATATAATAGGATAGTAGTTTGTTAGGGCTACTCCATATAATGCTCCTTATGCACATGGTTCCGGGGACTTGCGCGTTGGAAGACTAAGGAAAGGCGCGTGGGGTTTTTAGTTGGTAGTCCCTGCCGTTAAAATGGCGGCGGGGAGAGCCCAACACTACCCCGACGGGACCGCTAAATAGGTCCCGGCGGGGTGTGCATAAGGTGCATTTTCCCCACGTAAAAAAAAAAAAAAAAAAAAAATTGTTAAATTATGTTGTATTACATTTCAAATTATATTATATTTTAATAATGAATTTCAACAATGAATAACATAATATCCGACATGAACAATACCGTGCTAATGATTTTGTTTTACGGTCTTGTTATGCAAATTTAAATTTATATACTATATTGCAAAATAAATGCTGCAATTGTATATATTATATTATATATAAAATTATATATAATATAACCCTCCCATGGGGTACACCTTGTCGTGGTGGGAGGGCTTAGTACTTGGATGGTGTCTTGAGATTTATCTTAAATTTTTCTATTTACGATAAATCTTATGGTACCTGAAAGGGAAGCGAAGTACCCTTTCGCGTCGTCGGTGCCGTCAACGTGTCGCGGACGGCTGCGGTTCGTAACCGCGTTTTCGCGTTATAGTATTCTCGCGTTATCGCGTTTTCGCGTTTTCAAAATCCCAATTTCATTTTTGTCAACGAGTCTCTCCTTCCGACGCCATCTCTTCATACTTGACTGTGATTGGTCAATCTTTTAAGGCTTAAGGTCTGGTTGCATTAACGTTATTTTAGCTTTAAGCGGACTTAAATATATGTCTATCTTTATCTTTCTTTCTAAATAAATAGAGACAGTCATATATTTAAGTTTCGCTTGAAACTAAAATAATGTTGGTGCAACTGGGCCTTAAGGCCTATCCAGACAAATTGCATAGGTGCATATGCATAACATAAGACCATATGGACCAATGAGCATCGAGTATTAAATCGCTATATTAACTTACATAACATAATACTCGATGCTCATTGGTCCATATGGTCTTATGTTATGCATATGCACCTATGCAAGTTTGTCTGGATAGGCCCTTACCATCATCTACAATGGCAGTAGGATTAATGGATTAAAGCAGTAACTTAAAAAATTGACCAATCACAGTCAAGCATCAAAAGAATACTCGACTGTGATTGGTTAGGTCAATTTCTTAAGTTACTGCTTTAATCCATTAATCCTACTGCCATTGTAGACGACGTGTGAGACTTTCAAATTACCTATTGTAGACCCGGCCAGAGAGAAGACTCTCTGTATTCGCTTTCTCACTTTGATCGTGCGTACGTACATTGATATTTTCATGTAAAGTAGAGGGAGAGCAACGCAGGAGAAAAAGTTAAGTTTACTGAGGTTACAAATTCGGGAGACTAAAAGAAATTGATTCCAAAGAAAAAAAATATCAAATTTTAATTGTATAAACAATAAAAAATCAATGACAACAAAGAAGGTACATTAATATAGATTGCATTAAAGTCCTCAACAATGATTTTGATGATATTTATATATTTTCCATTCCTGAAATATTAAGAATACTGTTTCTTCTTTTTCAGGAACACATTAAGCAAACACGTCTTAGCATTGATGATCGTGTTAAAATTTTAGAACGTCTTGATAAAGGAGAGAAAGGTGTAATTCTAGCACAAGAATATAAAGTATCTACATCAGCAATAGCAAACATAAAAAAATCAAAAGAAAATTTGCTGAAACAAAAAAGTTCACTTATTATATGCCAAGGAAAAATGTCTAAAAAAAGATGCACAGGTGTCGAAAATAGTCGTCTTGATCAAATGTTGTATGAATGGTATTATCAGGAAACAAACATGGGGATTCATGTGACTGGATCAATGTTGCGAAAGAAGGCATTAGAATTAAACAAACTACTTAATGGACCTGCGTCTTTTAAAGCATCCACAGGATTTTTGAATAAATTTAAAGAAAGACATGATATTATTTTATCAGTTCATAGAGAGAAAAATACTGATGAGGAAAAAGACTCTGCTGTTCAAGATGCAAGTGATGATTTGTGTCAAGAATTGACTAATGACAATGTAAAACAAGAAGACTGGGAAATATTAAATCAAGTTGTCTTGCCTGAAAATGACATTGATCATGAGGAAAATGAAGAAATAGAAGTAGAAATGGAAGATAAGGAATATTTGGATGATAATTCTGAAAATGATATTACAGCAAAGAATGCTTTTGATGCGATTAATACATTTATCTGTTGGTACCAAAATCAAAATTATCGTTCGCCCGAGGAATGGCAATATTTATGGAAATTTTGGAAACATTCACTAGATCAAACTCTCCTTGCAAAAAAAATATAATAGAATAAAAGAATATATGTTTATTTTTGTAATGTAAAAAAGTATGTGTGCAATAAGAAATAAGATAAAAATGTATAAACTAATTTAACGTAATAAATGTACTAATGTATAACTTATAATAATTTTGTAATTTAACATCAATCTATTGTGTAAAGATGTATTTATTTTACATTTTAAAGTCAATTTCTACAAAATCTTGTTTGATTAATTATTCATTAGGATATATACAGTATGTACATACAATATATAAATTTCATATATAACTTCAAATATATATTTTCCATATTTAGATTTGTATAATAATGATTATATGTTAAATATATCACTCGAAAAATGTGAAAGTAATTTATTACTTTAAGTAATTTATTTACTTCATTTAGATTCTGTATATTTAGGTGTTCTTTCTGCATTTTGTCTAGCAATCTCAGGAAAAAATTGTGAATTGTATTTTTGTTTTATGCTAGGTTTAGGAGTTTCTGGTGCTACAATAGGTATTGGCTCCCCTCTCACTTTGGCCAAGAGTGCTTCAGTTCTTAACTTTTCACTTTGTTCTCTAAGCATCCTCTCTGCTCTTAATTTTTCTATATTTATATTACTTTGACTCTTAGTTTCTTTCTTAATTAATTGCTTATAATTTTTTTCCTCATGTTTTTTGTACTTTTTGTCCTTCTTATGTTTTTTGTGTTTATGGGTTTCTTGATCAGAATGAGAACTATCGGAATTACAATATTTTCTCTTAGTACTCTCTGTCTTTATTTTTGGTTCCTCAACAGATGCAGAGTGCATAATATTCAAATATTTTTTTATATCGACTATTGGATCATTTAAAGCTTTTTTCATTGTTTCTACTTCCACATTCTTCTCTGTATCTAATAATCTCCTTGGTAATTCTTCATACCAATTTTTCTTTCCAGTTGCTTCATTAGTATCTTGTCCCAGATATGTCAGATATCCAATTTGTTTTTCATATTTTTCCTTCTCTTCCTTTTTTTCCTTTTCATGTTCTGCATTAGGTTTGTTGTAATCGATCTTTCCATCTTCAAGCTCGGCAAAAAAGTTGACATGTTCTAATTTTGTGTTGGAATTGTCAACTTTTGAACGACCATCATATGTAGATCTTGCTTGATGTCTTAATAAATTTATTCTCGCTTCAGTTTCCTAATAAAAAAAAATTAACATTATAAATTTATAACAAGAAATAATTTTAAGCAATTTTTGCTGGAAAGTAAATGAGTAAACAAAATTTTTAAATAACAACAAAAACTCTATAATCAATATTTAAATAACTTATTACATACAGCTTTTTGAATTCGTTCTTGTTTAATTCTTTCCTCTTCAGCAGCTTTTGCTTCATCTCGACGTACACGAGCAATATTCTCTTTTGTTCGGACATGCCATCTAAATAAAAAAATTACATTAGAATATACGCAGCATAAATATAAAAATACATTTGACACAAAAATAATGCATACCTTTTCTTCGGTAGAATATTCATTGTTGTCGATGCACAAAAACAATCGTTTCAATATAATAAACTTAGATTCAATACAATTATTTTTAAATAACTGTTTTTTTTTATTTAGCAAAGCACATATATAAATAATCTTGTACAGTGTATGATGGAAAGCTACAATTCTGTGGGCTGCGTTCTATTAATACTGAAAATTTATAGTATATGTGACGTAAACTATAGATTTTCAGTACTAGCAGTGAATATTGGAATACTATAAAGACAAATTTCCAACAAAAGTACACATAGACACTGTTACATGATTGGCTATCAGATAGAAAGATTTTCAGGTCTTCAAAAATTCTCTAGTTGATAGCCAATTGTGTCTATTTCTGTTTTCTTACTTATCTTGTGCAGTTGGTAACATGTATGACTAACCTACGTAAACGAACACGAGGGAGCTTCTTGCGTAGAGTCACTGACAGAGGGAGCAAGTATTTTTCTTCAGAATCGTTTGTAATAATTGAGGTTATAGTTAGCATAAATTGTGCTTGAATAAGTTTTTTATTTATATTCTATTTAAGAAGTAAGTATATATATATATATATTATATACATTTTCATAAAATAATATTTTATTTGATATATATTAATAGTTTAAGTCAAGCTATTGAAATTTGATTTCATCAGTTTTATATTTAATATATATTTCAATATATACATTTATATTAATGTATTTTTATAACCTAATTCTAAATTGGTTTTCTGGGAAGTGATATTAGTTTGTTATTTTGTATATTTATCTAACATCAAATGTATCAAAAATAATAGTTGAAGTTGATAATTTAACATAACTATTGATATATTATGTTGCAAAAATATATTTTAAATAATATTGAATATATATATTAAAGTATATATTGAATATAAATATATACAGATTTCAAAACTAATTTTTATCACATATCAAATTTTTAGCGTAGATATACAATTTTCATAGACACAAATTTCTCTTCCAATTATTATTATTATTTATATATATAATGTTATCTTAATATTATTATTTATTTTTATATATAAATCTATTATAAACATATTCCTTTTTATTTAAAATAGATTGCAGATATCTATCATGGCTGCGACAATGCCAATAAATCCCAAACCATTTTTAAATGGTTTGACAGGAAAACCAGTCATGGTGAAATTAAAATGGGGCCATGAATACAAGGGTTATCTGGTTTCCGTGGATGGATATATGAATTTGCAACTTGCAAACACTGAAGAACATATTGATGGCAGCTGTACTGGAAATCTTGGGGAAGTTTTAATCAGATGTAATAATGTCATGTATATAAGAGGAGTGGAGGAATCAGATGAAGAGGGTGAAATGAAAGACTAAATAAAATATGTTAAACTTAATATTAAATTAAATACTAGATTTTAACCTTGTATTATTAAATATTGACATAATTAGATTAATAAAATCAATAAATAAAATATTTCTTAAACATTATCTAGTTAAATTTGCAATTGATACAAATTTATATGTTAACATGGTTTTGGAACATTAGTTACTATAGATTTTGGCCTTGATCTAAATAGAAGTTTCTTCTTCACAATAGCCTTTACGATGTATTCTGTTTTTACAACCTGATCTTTTCCAATTGTCTCGTCTCTTACATTGTCACGATGTCTTTCTAATACAATCAAGGGTTTTTCAAGTGTTATTTCTTTTCCATGTAGCACATGAATTCCAATAATTAAAATAGGTATTCCAGCTTTTGTAAAATGAAGGTCGCCAATTAGTTGATTATCTAAATTTTCAATTTTTTCGAATTTTAAATCTCCTTGCAAATCTATGATAGCCCAATCTTCTATAATTCCATTTCTAAAAAAAATTGACTTTTAATTTAATGATATAAAAATTATCGATATTTTATGAGAAGTAAGATATATAATCTGTAATAAAAATGTATCACAAAAGTTTTACTTTTTAATTGGTACGATCATCTTCGTTAAAACTTTATTTTTGAATTTCTTTTAAACGATGTACATATATGAACACTATCTCATTAGGTTAAGTAATATCAAATGGCGCCAAGCTTGTCGTTCGTTCATCTTTTTACAAAAGTATCGTATAAAAATTCCCTAGAAACTGTAGTGAGAAATGGTATTTCCATTAATTTTGAAAAACAAATCTACGAAATAAAAAAAAGGTAAAACTTTTGTCTGATTGAAACACTTTCTTTTAATATAATAATTTAAATATTATAAACTTATACATAATATATATATCCATATTTTATATAAATTAAAATATGCAATTATAAATATAAATAATATAATTACAATATATCTTTCATATAATACGGATGAAACAAATGTAAATTTAATTTATATATAAATATATAAATATTATATATATATATTTTTTTATAGAAAAGTCTATCATTTTATTGTAAAAATAAATAGTTATTTTTTATAAATTTCGATTTATAAAAAATGTATGTAAATAAATTAATTATTATTAAGCTTATATAAAAATGGAAAAGAATTATTATATATTAAAAGAATATCTAATTATAGAAAAAAATATGTGAAAATGAATAACAAGTCTCCGTAAGGATAAATATTTATTAATTACGTAGAACGCAATTTTGATTTAATGTTGTACATATATTTTATTTCCAATTTTCTTCACATGGAAATACATTGAACGCAAATCACAGCACATCTTCTTGAATAAATATTCATGTATCGACTGTAGTAGTATATCTAAACAAAAGTAGAAATAAATGCTTATAGGTGCATTTGTGTTATTAACTACTGAACTAGAATCTGCGAGATTCATATATTTCAAAATAAGATTTTGATGTTTGTTTACATATCATTTTACAGATATATTTATCAATCTTATCTACATAAAATTAGATTTTTAATTAAATTCGTCGATTTAAACATACTTCTAATGACTTGGAAATATTTTGAAAATAATATGCGAATATAAAAAAAATTGACATAAAAGTGATTGAAATTGATCACAAATAATTTTTATCAAATGAATTTTGATGCTTCGGTTCTTTGGAAAATTTGATGAAATAAAATAGTTGGCATCAAAGATTATCGATTATGATTAACGTGAACATTTTACAAGTTCGTTTCCTCTTAACATTTACGTCAGATATACAATAGATATATAATAGTCTCTCTCAAATGTAATTAGCTTTGATTATCTATTAATCAATCGAGAATTAGGCGTTGAAGCTTATGAGAAATACACTAAGGCAATATCATTCGCAAAATAACATGTGCGTAATGTACATATGTGCGTATATATATTTATATATGTACAAAAATCTTTCTATATATACGAGATCTCCTAAGAATAGAGTACAAAATATTTTAGGAAGATAACTGTGCGATGAGACGATCAGAAATAGGAAAGTGATACTTTCATTCATGTTATTCTAGATAATTATGCTTCTTATTCACTACAAATAATATAAAGATCTATAACTTTTCATACGAAACATTTTTACAAGAAATAGAATAAGCTCGCTAAAGTATGATTAAGATAGAGACGTTCTAAATGTATTTTTTATGCTTTGTGTTTTCCCGTAAAAAAGCATTGGCATCTAATGTGTGTTAGCAGTAAATTTTAATTAATTTCTAATATCCTTAATTTGGAATAATCTATCATTTATGAAATACGTATACATATACGTATACATTTTAATAATGATGTTATGTAAAAAATTGCTTTACGTAACATAAGAAGTTTAAAATTAGATGCATTATATATTCTCAGAGTATATATAATTCTTTTTAATATATTTTAAATATATTTTAAATATATTTTAAATATATTTTAATCTATTTGAATGATTATAGGAGATTATAGTTAGAAATTTAGTTGAAAGTCTTGAGATAGCTTATATAAAGATTTTGTTGCTTTAACATGAATTATAGCAATTATTTCTTGAATTCTATCGAACTTTTTGTTTGAATTGTTAACATAAGCACAAAATAAATAAAAGCCAGTTATAGATTTAATAGACTTTAACGGACGGATAGATTTTATAAAATCAAGAAAAAATCTTATAAGTTTAGAAGGACAATTTATGTATGATTTTTTTTGACTTTTTTTTTGGAAAATGGTATGTATGTATGAATGGTATGTAATAGCATAGTAGCATTATTCGTGTGCTTTCATTAAGAACAATTGATAATGCTAAAGTGATAATAGTATAAGTGCTTTTTATTAGGACTTTTCTGACTATATATTGACGATTTTCTATAAAGAGTTCTATAAAGAGTTTGATCATTTGAAAACTAGAAATTTTCAAGGATAGTTTTGAAAGAACATTAAATATTTTTTTTGTTACATTATAATATGATAAGGTACATAATCGAACATATTAACCTACCTTTCATTATATTTTTCTGGACTAATGTCTTTTTGGATGGATTTTCATCTATGCTAATGTTCATGTATGTGAAATTAATGAAGGAAAGGATAGTAATATGTATATGTGATATTTACAAATGTGATAGTTATTGAAATGCATTAATTATTAATGATTAGCAATTTCGTTGACTTTTTATGAAACATTATATATATACAATAACATCAATCGATGTATATCATAATACCACTTTGTGAATAGTCAACAGCATTATTTAATACTATGCATAAAATGACTTAGTATTCATTAATTGTGTATTTTGTATCAAATTATAATGTATCTATAATGTGGGTGTATCTATATAATTATAATGTATCAATTTATAATTGTTGTAATTAAGATTTTCAGTTACTTTTAACATTTGCAAAACAAAAATCTTCAATATATTCTTTTCAGATGCTATATTAAATAAAAGATACGTATTTTTACGGATTAATTTATAGTTTACAAAAAAAATGTAATCATATTTTGCAATTCCTTAATATATTACAAGTTTTTAATTATATTTAATTATACTCTTGTTTTCAAGCAAGGTATTTGTGTATATTATGCCTTTTTTATATTACATAATTATTGTATATAAAATTTATTATATAATTATTTATAATATTATTATTATATAATAAAAATTATAATATATATATACAATATGTATATATACACAATAATTATGTATATGAAATATATACATAATTTAATTTTTTATGTACATAATTATAAATATATTTTACACTCAACACGGCTTTATATTTCAGAAGACTTATTTTTTTTTTAAATCTTCTCACAGTTTTCGCGAGGCATATTATATCATAGTGACAGAATAATTACTCGTCAGTTAATTTGTTTAAAATGCTATTTATTTTTTATAGCGAATTTAATTGGCGGTACTAATGCGCATAGATGTATACTAAAAACTGTTGTACACAATTGTATTGTGTACACAAACCGACTACCAAATTTTCATTGGTCAACGTACTTATATTATAATTTTGAATAACTTTGTAGTCAATTGTATTCAGTCTGCACCAATGCGCAAAAATTACTGTCATGATTATTATGCAATCATAGAGTTTCAAGTTACAGCACCGCTGCCTTGAGATTTATTATAATATAATTCGGCCGAGAATGAGATATAACGATTGAATTGGTGCTGAAAGATTGGCCAGTAAAGTGATAAGATATAATCTACAACAATGACCCGTGGACATTTTTTAGGAAATAATCCTTCGATTATACATAAAAATACAACAAAGAGTTAATCAAAATAGCATACACTAAGTTAACACTGATACTGGACATCATAAATGTTTTAACTTACCAGATATATTTTTGAAAAAGAAAAATATGCATCATATTTGACATGTATCATTTTGATCATATGTTATATCTCAAATAAAACATATGCTATTATAAAATTTTTATAAAATGTTATTCTCTTCTGTTAAAATACTAACTGATTCGAAGACTGCTCATCCAGCGGTTGTTACGACATTTATGATGCCTAAGTATAATTATCTCCTATATTTTTCTCTAACGTCTTCCAAACACGTTCGACAGCATTGAGCATTCGATAATCGCGATATTTTAATGCCTGTGAAATACGCGTGGTAAAGGTTGCCGCCGATACTACTTGGAAGACTGAGTCGAGATCTGAAGATATCACTCTAGATTCTGTTTACACAAACACACACAAACATAAAAATAAATTACATTCTCCTTTTGTCTCGCACTCTGATCGCGTTCAGCATCGATTTTGCGGACTTAAAAATTATCCTGAGTGCATCACGCGAAAAATTCTCTTTTAAGTATATCCAATACTTCGTTGGAAAAAGATAATGTTAATTTAAGCGATCGGTAATCGTTGAATTCGTTACTTATGACTTTTTATCGCACACTGTATGTTGAATTAAATTTGACAAAATTTGATTCAACTTTCACCCAACCTAGACTAAACTTTAAATCCCTCGGGATGTTTTTTCGGAACATTCAGTTCTGGCGTGGTTTTAGGAACATCTCTTTCGGGGCTGGGGCTGGGGCTGGGGCTAGGCGAGGAACTCGGCGATCTTGAGCTACTGGAACTGGATCTGGCGCGTTGCTTACGTTCCTTTTCAGTCTTATATTCGTGTAAAGGACCACGAATAACTTTCAAGGTGGTTTCTAATTCGTAGGCTCGATCCTTTAACGAATTGTACAAGTTAATATCGAGACCGATTTTCCGTGCTCTTCTATGAAGTACTATGAGATGACGTCTATTTAACACATCCGGCAGCATATATTCCTATATAAATGCATAAAGAAAAATAGCTGATTTCATCGAGTTATAATGTTATAGAATTCTACAAGTATATTTTGTTATAAAATCAACCTGTCTAGTGACGAGGTAATAAATAAACCACATCATAGTAGTGCCATAAGTAACGAAATAAGTGACAGGCTCCATTATATCCCATGAATATTCCCACCAGGTTAATCTGGCTAATGCTCCAAATTGGATTGACATCATAATTAGGAACGTCCAAATAAAGAAATTTGCCTTTTTATAAGCGGCATTTTGTATTTCTTGCAATTTCTAAAAGAAATACACAAAAAAGAAAGAAAGAGATTAAAAGAATGTAAAATTCACACTTAAAAAATTTTTTTTAATCATTATTTATAATGTATCTAGATATTTCTGTTAATAAAAATATTTTATTTTTTATCATATTCTACGTAATTAAGAAAAAAGATATAATATTTGAGAAATAAATATATCAGAGGACTGTGGAAACTAAAGTAATTTTTTCCTTTATTATCTCGTAAAGAAAGAAAAAAAGATGCAAGAAATATTTTACAAAAATTCTCTTTTCATGACATTGCATAATAGCGAATATAGCAAGCGCAATTCACACAAAGATGGGATGAGAAAAGTATTTCTTCGCTATTTCTTCGATCATGTGATATGAAGCACAACGCGAGTGTGCTAATTAAAAGAATATGGCAATTAAGAAGAGTTGTAAAACCAGCGCGAGTATGAGAAAAGACTAACAATGGAAGTGCGGCCGCGTTTAAATATAATTTATGCACGTTTACAATGGAAAGGTAATCGATGCATGCGCTTCATTTAATTGTTTCGTTTAATTAAATCAAAATAAATCAATTATCAAATTTATATATTATTTCACATAAATATCCATGTCTTATGAATATATATAATTCGTGTATGTATGTCGCACAATTTTTAATATAAAATGTTATTTTATATTATAAAAAAATTTTGAATTTTATTATAAAATATTATAAAATATTATTTTATATCATAAGAATTTTATATTTTAAAACATTATTTTAACATTTGTACCTGTTCCATGGGTACTAATTGTAATCTAATGTCTTCTAGCTCGGCCACAACTGATCTTTCCATGTCGACTTGATATTCTCGCACGTGGAACGCTTCATAAAGTTGTGCAACGAGTGCTTGTACATCTCCAAGTTTCTGAAGATCCTCCTGTGAAAGTGAGAAATGTAGAGTGATTCTTGTATCACGCTTGGTTTGACAAGAAAAATATGTAAATAACCAAAAGGTATCGCCGACAAGTGAAAATTATGATTGACCGAAATATCGCTTGTTTAAAATTCTAATCAATCGACATTAATCAGAGCGTCCCAACTACGAAATTCTAGATTATATATAAAAATACGAAGTCGAATAGAAAACTCGTTTTTATGTGATAACTCACTATCGTGCACCTTTCTTGCAACGGTGGTGAAACAACATATTCGTTATCGTTTATTATTAATTTGAAATCCCCTTCTAAAAGCGATTCTATCGTATTACTGGAAGATATTCTGACGCCATCTGAAAAGCAATCAAAGCTTTTAGTGTGCATTATCAAATCTATCTGATATTGTCATAATCTCTAATATCTTAATTATTAATTAACCGCTAATTGTAAGAGAAATGATTGATACGATGTCTCACCTAACGATGTTATGCATGCTCGATCAATGCCACGATCCTCTGTCTTCAACATATCTAAAAAATTGCCGACTGTATGTGTTATTGGTTTCATGGTAAACGAGCAATATTCTCTTCTAGATGGAAGAGGCACCGTGATTCTGGGAAGCCCTTGGTAATATGCCACGGTGACATCCACATCTACGTAATATATATGTATACATTAATATATTTATACATAACGTTTTTCTATTTCACGCAAAACAAGATATAATTGTCTTTAATATGTCTATGAATATTAGCAAGTCTTGTGAAGACAAGTTATTAAATCCTATGAATATTTTTATAAGACTTTATTCTTTTATTTCCTCTCTATACATATGCAAATCTTGTAAAATAATTTGATTTTTAGTATTAGTAACCATTTTTAGTATATTTTCTAGATCCATATGTGCATTCAATTGTGTGCATCATGCGAATATTTCTCGACTGGCAAAAACGTAATACGGTTTGCGCATGAGAAAAGTATGCGTGCGTGCACGCGTACAATCGTATCATGGATTATTCGTATTCATTGTCGAAAGTTCGGATGGGAAATGTCTAGTTCAAACATGAAATTTAGCATTGCGAGCATTCGAGCGATTCGATTAATTAATTTTATCAGTATTTCTATTCAACAATATTAAACCGTCATATAAGACTTGTAACAATGCATATCGTAGAGTCGTTTTTATATTAGTATCAATTTTTTAATTTTATTTTTTAATTTAATTTTATGCTAATATCAATTTTTTAAGCTCAATTGATCAATTACTATTTAAATCGATTTATCCTTTACAATTTAATTAAATAATGCTGAAAGAATGTTAATTATTGGTTATGTACAACAATTAAAATTATAACGTAGTCAGAACGGAACATCGTTCTGACGAGGCAATGGAAATATGCGAATATACGCAATTATAAAAACATACGTTAAACATTAGTTACACACTACATACTTGCTTTATCCGTGTCGCCTATTATATTTACTTAAAATTATATGTATACAATATAAATCTAGTGAAAATACTTTCAACCTCTCATAATGATAACAATTCGTCGAATAGTATTATTTTCTGTAAGACTTGTTTCTCTCAATTAATTTAATATATTTCCGATATCTCTAATGAAAATAGTGAAAATAGCGAATAAAATGAAATAAAAGTTTTAAAAAATAAGAGTTTAAAACATTGAAAATGGATGAGAATATTGCCCCAACTGTTACTTATATTATTATTTATATAAAAAATATAATATTATTTATTTATATAAATTATATTTGTATAAAAAATAATACAACACATTTTATACTGAATTCTCAATTTAATTGCTACTCGAGGGAAATTGTTTTGGTGATTTTTTAAACGTATTTATGTATTCGTTAATCTTTCAAAACTTAAAAAAAGAAGAACGATGCGGAATCAGTAAAATGCACTGTATCCGCGACTTTGCTCGCGTGATAATCGCGCAATTGAGAGCTAGACTGTGTGTATTAACCTGGTTACGAGCCGTTGATATGAAGAAGGTATTAGAGTGTGGAGAACGGAACGAGACGACCGCGAGGTCTTTCCGCTGTAAGCAGAACGGAACCAAGCATTAATCCGCTTGCGCTAACGATCTCTAAAAAATGCACTTGCAAGCGCAAGAGCCATCTTCTTAAGTTTTTTTTTCAAGTTTTGTCGTTATAATTTTTAAGGTGGTAAAAACTAAGAAGTGACTAATTTCGAGAAACATCATCATAGAATATTGATGAGATGATGAGAGATTAGCAAAAATAAATCGATATACTTCGTAAAAAAAGAGATAAAAAATTTAATATATAAACTCTCTCTAGTTCGAATAAAGATGTATTTTTTCGCGACGCAAATACACATTTATGTGGCTCAATATGTTCTGAAATAATTTCAAAACTTTGCATATATAAATATTTTGCAAGAAAAAACGATATGGAAATTTCAGATTTTAATAAAAATGAGAGCGAGATAAAATTTAATAAACAGCGCTAAAAATTTTCAAATAAAAATGCAAATTTTTCCGAGATTATAAAATACAAGAAATGATGCAAGAAATTAACGTGTAATGAGTGGATGCGAAAAAGAGGAAGAATTAATGCTGCTTTCAAATTATTTATAAATATATTGTAAAAAATACATATATATTATTATGGTACATTTTATATTAAATCTGATTAATCAATAATTTGAAAATTATATATTAGATAATGTTTCTCTAATCGATTACTGTAATTATTTTTATATGATTAAAGATATAATCATTTTTCAAGTAAAAGTATGTAATCTCTTTTGGGAAAAAAAATTTATTTTAATCTAACTTTATAGACTGAGAGAGAGAGAGAAAGAGAGATATGTGACATCGTATATCAAAATATTGACAATCGCATAATAATCATATATATAAAGTTATTTACGTTTACAAAAAAATATTATTTATAATATATTGTACAATATCTATCGATGTTATGTGCCTAATAGTCCGGCCTAATAGTACCATTTAATTCTCGAATAAAAAATATAATATAATTACTAATCGTCATGTATAATTCTTATTTCGAAAGGGAAACGCAAGAAGCTAAGATCTTTCGATCATTCAGGATACTCAAGGAGCGATCTGTAGTGATCGACTGCAACTCGGATAAAAATTTAATACCGTGATAATTGCGGGTTTTTTTAAACGCACAGGTAACATCCGACAATTAGTACGCCCCCACATGACAGACGATCGGCGGACAGCGATATATGTGCATCGCCCGGTAGTAGGTTGGCATACACAGGTGGAAGTGGTAAGAAATCTACCATCACCTAACCGTTCGCCTCCCTTCTTCCATTGTCTGTAGTGCGATGCGGTGGTGAAGTTTTCTGTGCCGTCACAGTCTATCGTAAGATCCTGTTCAATTAATAAGTGACGCGATCGTGGAAGACGACGTAGTTATTTTTTTTTACGACAGCACTCCGAAGTTTCCTCAAATTTCTCCAAACCTGCGAATTGATTTTGTTTTATTCCCCGGAGATGTACGATTGACGATTGCCAAGGGAATTTCCCGAGGGTAGGTAGGTGGATATTTATGAGATTGAGCATTCGATTTATGGCATTCTCGAAGAACCGTTAGCACTCGAGTAATCGCAAGGTCACGGATCTTTAGAGATTATAAATTGATTAAGAGTTAAGGGCAAGATAAAAGTGAAACCATAACATTTATTTTAGATATCATTTCATATTGAAAATGGACTTTATAAAAAATCATAAATTTATTTCTTTTGCATTAAATTCTTCGATTTAAATTTTTTTTTCGTTTTGTGCTTTATTAAAAGTTATGGTTATTTTTCTAAAATTTAATTTGTTCGGAATATACGAAATATTTTATTCATAACGAATGAAATGCATACGCGATTGAAATAAAAAGGAAACATATATTTAATGTTAATCTCTGTATAAATATAAATATGTTATGTTTTTAATATTAAAGCTGTTATGTAGAATTAAAGAATGTCACGAATATAAAAATAATAAAAATTTAATTTACTATTTAATTATTTTATTCATCATATATATCTCTTAAATATAAAAAGTTCTTACTATATATTTTATTAATGATAAAAATATTATATATTAGCAATATATACGTATACAAATAATTAAATATATTTTTAAGATTTTTCATCTAGTTAAGAGATAGATTTCTCTTTCATAATAGATAATTTAAAAATTTGATAGGCAATATGTGTTCCTAAAATTATAAAAAAATCTTTCATATATATGCGCACAAGCGTTTTCCTATATATATATTTTTAAAATTTCCGTTCAACTTTCAACCGAATTATGAAGAAATTTACGCACCGATGATCGCCTAGAAAGTCTCTGATATGTTGACATGTAAAATATTTTATGAAGTCGGATGAAAAAAAATATTTTTGTGTAATTAATATAGTATAATTAATAAAAGTATTGCGCGAATTAAATTTCGTTTTGAGAAGTCCCGTATTATGAGAATTTAAAGCACAGAATTATTAATATTTATTCTTTCATCGTTCGTCGATGAATTCGTCCGTCATTCATATATCATATAATTCGGGGTGATAATAAATTAATCTCGGGGGACGTATGTGAATGTATGGATTGCAACCATCTAACTGACAATTTGCGTGTAACCGTACTTGACATGCTGCAGTTTCACTTCCTCTTTTGGAAGTTATTGCCGTACTCTACCACAAGAGATATAGTGATCATTGTCTGAGACGCTTGAGATATCTCGATAATAGCTTCGATAAAGATTTTTAAAAATATGAAATTAAAACCTTCCTTTTTAATTCAATTTTTAATATATAATATATGTATATATTTTATATATTTATATATATATATTTTATATTCAATTTTTAATATATTATTTTATATTAATATTATATTTTAATATTATATTATATTTTATATTAATATATATATTATTTTATATATTAATTTATATATATATATATATATATTTTTTTTTTGACATTTGACTTTTCAATTCCCAAGTCTATAAATCTATATCTATCTGTAAATTTAGAGATTTTTATCATGAATCTGTTAGTAATATACAAAATGAACGTAACCAACATAAATTTACAACTCGAAAAAAATGTTAGCTAACATAAATATACAACTCGATTTTTCGTGAGTGCTTATGGGTTAAGGCATCTTAGGCAGGTAAATAATATATAGTTCCAGGATACCTGACGCTGCAGGCAGATATATGTGTTCACTTGATTGAAAATATCAGACTATATATCGCATAGCCATATAGAATATTTCGAGCTTATATCACTTCTAAAAAAAATCTCTCTGCATTAAACATATTATATTTTCACTAAAGAAATGTTTGATTTATTATATATGATTACTTTTCACATAAGAGAAGAAAAAAAATAAATAGAAACAATATTACTCCAAAAAATTAGATTTAATATTAACTAAGATTTTAAAATTATAAGTTTTACTGGGACGTTAAAAAATCATATTTTAAAAATATCTAATTTTAATATCATTTACAGAAATATATTTATTTTGATTTTAAAAAATCTCGATTTTTATAAATCAATGCTAGAGACACTTTTATCCCTGTTATTGAAATAATTACCGTTGCGAATTATCATCACAACATCTTATAGAGTGCGATGTAACTTTTAAGAGAGAAAATGAAATACTTAAATAAATTTTCGTGAAATCTATCAAAAGAAAAATTAAAAAACCTGAAAAAATAGAAAAGTCTTTTGCTTTATTAATTTTATTAGGTCTAAACCTGACGGTCAAGACCCTTTCCGGAAAAAGTTAACGTTGGAACATTCTCGGTTCGCAATAGATGCAGTTCGTATTGTCTCGTTAATATACGCTTCCTGGATCGATTTCATTTACGAGAAAGCTGCACGCTAGTGTCATCTAGTAGTAAGTCTTGGTAGCACGAGAAACTGGTTGAAAATTTATACATACACGAGAATGATGTAGACAAGAATTACGAGAAGGGACCTTCATCGTAAATGCCTTTCCGCTCGAGCTGTAACACATGTATCAAGCGGACCTTTCGTTTTATTTATGCTTGGTATTTTTTCAAATGTTTCCACTTTTCCAATGGATATTAAATATACGGGAATATCTCGAGAATATACATATATTCCCTCTATTAAATTTCACAGGTTCTGTAAATTTCTCCATAAATATCACAAATTGGATAATCTACGTACTCGTTAAACACTGAGTAAATATGTTGAAAACGAGGTTGACAATATGCCCCTAAACGATGCCTTTCACATCATTGTATATGCAATATAAATTGCTATTACATAGCCAAACAGTGCGGAAAAAGCATCGGATTTACATTATCGTTCCGATGTCAGTTTTGTTTAGACAGACAGTTTTGTATATATCACATCGGCTATTTATGCGTTACGAATATAAATTACAAATTGGCAAACGTCTCCTTTTCTTTCTCTCTATCTCCGTGTGCCAAGAAAGTTAGAGATGTTTTATATAATATCATAAATTTTTAATGGGCTTTTTTAACATAAATTGATAAGTGAGTCAAAACACCATTAATCATGTAAAGAACTATAACATACATTTATTTAATAGTAATTATGCCTTTCAATCTTTTATAGCGAAAATTTTTGCTATTAGCAACGCTCTTGTAGCGTAATTCTAAATGTTATAGATGATATTACACTTTACAATTACGAAACTTGATCAAAGTTTATAATGACTTTAAGGGCGCGAATGTAACGATATACATATATCAAGCCCATTATTTCGTTATAAATTTTCGTGGTGATATTGATTGATTATTATTTATTTAAAATAAATTATCTAACCGTTAATTAATTTGAATGCTAGTTATATATTTTAACTAAAAATATATAACTAAACTATTAATTAAAAATTAATAATTGATTGCATATGAATAATAATTAAAATTATCGTTATAATAATGAAAAATATATATACATATTTATAACGTTATCCTATTCTCCTATATTTAATATATCGCGTATTTAATATAATTTATCATTTATCAGATTGTTTAAATAAAATAGGCACTGTCAAAACTATCACCGCGATTTTCGAAACATTTGTAAAATATTTAGCGATGTAAAAAAAAATTCGATGTCGTTCATTAAATATGAATTTACATCAGGTCTCTTCATGATCGGCCATGGGCGGTGTGCAAAGTGGAACTCATAATCTTGGCGATGCATTATGGGTACAGGAGCGACAGCGGCAGAAGGGTCATCGGTAAGTAATAGTTTTTTAAATAATGCAAAATATAATTATATAAAATACACAATTGCGATATAGATACTTAGGATACACGCTGAATAAATATTAATTTTTAAATTGATTCCTTTTCCTATGACGCTAAGCCAAGATTCTTGATAAAACCTCGTATTGTATAGTGCAATTCATTATTCACGATGTTCCTGATTTCGCGGAGACTTTGAGTAATGTTAAAGACTGATGAAGAAGCTTTAATGGCTATATCGGAGAATATTCCTCTCTATTCGAGCCAACAATTCACTAATTATTCAAGCGTCGGAAAGTTCTACTAATTATGAGATGATTTCCATAACGAAAGTACGAAATTAAGTCGTGTTTCAATTTGTTTTTATTCAACGAAATTCCTCTCATAATCGCGATAATTATGGTTGCCCTTGCATTCTTTGCAACTGTTTTTTAAAATAGCGAGAGATGAAACTTTTCTTCGGGCTATTTTCCGCAAAGTGATCGCAAAGACCGAAATAAAATAACTGTAACGGGGACAAGGCTGACACGAATAATTTAAAAGTTGAGAGAGAATTTTTTTCATGTGTGCCCCAAGCTCTTCACTTTGTGGATTTAGAAATGCGTTAGTTTCCGTAGCGTCCCGAGGCGATATGGTCACGATTAGTAATAGTTAATAGTTAATTACTGCCGTGTATATTGCTACGGTCAGGCAACGCTTATTAACACGGTTGTGGTCTAATTACTTGACTTCAAACTAGGTGTCTATTTCTATATAAAGAGAGATTCCAGAGAATGCTATAAATCTCTATTTTAATTCGAGAATCAACGAAATAAAATTTTATACATGTACGAGTTGCAATTTAGTTACAAACGATATATGCCATCATGTTGTGTAAATTCTGTTTCACTATATTGTAATATCCTCTTCCAAATGCAATCTAAAATATTATATTATTATTGATTCGTAATTTTTTATCAATTTCATCAATATGTATAATATCTTTTTGTTGTGAAAATTATTAATAATAATTTCGCAAATATGTTTTGGTTATTTAGCCAGAATATTATATAAATTTGAATACAATTTCTCCCTCTCTCTCCAACTTTAATGACAAAATCTATTTCGGAGTTCAAATCGCGGATTACATTCCAAATAACACCGATTGTATCGCTAGATTATAGTATTCACATTGCACTAAATTATATTCCCAATTGAGGTCTAAAATATATGCATGTAACTTACAGCATGTACATATATAGTGTAACGTTAATTATAATATTGTATAATAATCCCACCTATGTATTAGTAAGAGTATTTATAGAATATATTTTCAGATAAATAAAAATTATAATATATTAAGATATTATTAGCGTAAGCGATCTAAATCTCTATTGAGACATTGAACGTATGCAATATTTGCCATGATTAATTTTGAAACAAAGTCTCTTGACTCTTTCACAATAGTGATTAGATTGCAAGCTCAAAAGACTATGGTTAACGATATCGGATAAATAATTGACAAAATCGATTCGAATTAAATAATCCGCATGATACCGGAGTATCGTTAATTAGCGCGAAAACCGCGCAGTGATATTGCGTTATAGCGTGATCGTAGTAGCGGAACACCGGATATCCGTCTTTTGCACATCCGAATACCACTCTCTCTCTCTCCCCCTGTTTCTCTCTATTTTCCTCCTACTCTATCCCTTTCTTTCCTTTTCTCTCACTCGTAATACATATGCACACGTGCGTACCGTACGGAACAAAGGGCTTTGACAAACCGCGTGTGTCTCTTGCACATTGAAAATCATTCGCATTGCGGAGTGTTGGCAGTGCAAAGTGCCGTAGCGACTTGGATCGTAACTTGCGTCGCAATGTATGTTGTCAAGATTGTGTATTGCCAAGTGACGATGGAATTCGTCGAGCAGGACACCGGGAGATCGAGGTAAATTATAATCGATTAAAATCCTGAAAACGATTATGATAACACGATATGTTTTGATTTTAATTTAGAATTGAAATTTTCAAAATGTTTAGTTTACTCATTTAATTTTATCTATTTTAATATTAGGTATTTGCCAAGAAAGATATGATACATAATGTATCGAGAAATACAATAAATCTTAGAGAATAAAGGAAAGTAGAAAATAAAAATATTGAAATTAATAAATTCTTAAATTAATAAATTAATAAATTCGATATTATAAATTCTAATATTCTTATATGACCTTCTTTTGACGAATTTCTCAATTTTTTATCAATACATTATTATATTTTTACCGTTAATTAATTTTACTAAATAACATACATTAATGGCATTAATATAAATTATTATAAAAAATACATGAAACCATTTTATGGAACTGTAAATTACATTCTGCACGTGTATATTGGATTTATGAATTTACATTCATTGAATCATTTATGATTTAACTTAGCGCATTAATACATCACAATTAGAAATTATCTGAACTTTATCATCATTTAATTACTCGTAATATTCGAAAAAGTTATCAAAAATATTCACATCAATATCTTTTTTTTAATTTATATGCAAAATCTGCTCACTTTTCTGGATTATTCAAGTCAGTGTTTAAAAAGAAAATGTTAATTTCATAAGTATTAAGGTCTATTGACGAAACGAGCTTACGTCGTGACATTTATCGTTGTCTCGAAATATCCCTGGATTATTCAAGATATGACATCATTCAATTTTTACAGGAGACCTTCTCGTTAAATTCTGCTCAGACATATGTCTATCTGTTTAACGCGACGTGATCAGATTAACGTGTGCCAACGTATACACAATTTCGTGACCATCAGAAAAACATACTTCCGTAATCGTACTGTGTCACATAAGCCCTACGGCGGTGCTTTTTGAGCATATTGTTCCTTTAAAATGAGATCCACCTTTTGCGACGAGATCCACTTTCCTAATTCAGAGTAAGTAATTCGTCGCATGAAAAGTCAGAGACTTTTATGGACATACTACACATACATGAGAGATGAGAAGAACTCAGCAGTCGTAACGAGGGAATCGAGACCTCATTAAAAACGTTATCAGCATATATATAGCATATATATAGGATTTCCCCTGTGAGAACAGGAGCATACTCTCTATTGTATAACTTCCTGTCGCTTCGTGGCCTCGTTTCCTGACCTTTCCAAATCGACGGGGAAAAATCATGCAACTTACCGGAATAATCGGACCTACTTTCCGTCTTGTTTAACAAATAACTACATAGATAGTAGATGCTGCTGAATCATGAGATTTAAATATAAACTCATTGTAGTTTACTCATTGAAATCGTTCTAATGAGATGCTGACGCGAGCATTTATCAATACGGACGCTTTGTATAATGGAGTTCCGAGTGTTGTGTACCTTCGACTTAGACACAATTTGCAATTGGTCTCGTGAAGATTTTCACTTATATAATAATAAGTTTATTACACAGGCAATGTTTTTTATTAACGATGAATGCAATGTTACGTAAAGGAAGCAGCCATCCTTGAAGTGCGGTAGCATTAAAATCGATAGCCAGATTAAGTAAGAGCGATTCCTCGATTAAATATGATTTCCTGATCCATCAAGACCTGGTTTTGAAAATTGCTTGCTATATTCATAAATTACTATAATATATATATATATATATATATATATATATATATATAAAACGAGGCAAATATAAATATTGAAAATGTATAGATATTGAGTATTAAATTAATCTAAATCTTTTTTCCTATAGCTAAATAAAAATATTTTTTTGAAAAAAGGGAATGATTAATTTTTTAAAAATTATCAAGAAAATAAATAAATAAATAAATATATATATATATATATATATATATATATATATATAAGATCACATCTTGTATCACACTTATTTTATAAATTTGTAAAATTTTTAGCTTCTTCTCGTGTCAATCTCACTTATAACTGAAAGGTTGGCATTTTATAATTTCAATATTAATATTTTAATCATAGGAAACTCATATAAAAATAAATCAAATAAAAATAAATTGAATATAAGAATACATTGAAAAATCCATCAAAAAATTGACAAAAATGCAATATATGAGTATATATAACAAAAATAATAAATCTTATTATATTATTTTAGAAACATATTATTATTTTACTTATATAAAAAGTGAATCAGAAATTTCGTAAGTGTCAATGACCTAAGATTAAATTACATACGTATCACCTCGCTTTCACACTGAGTTTCTGGAAGCATAAGCATCAATTTCTCCGGAGTACTCTCGTGATAAAGTGCGGATCGCCGACCACGCGGAATTCCTAACAATGTTTCAGATAATCAAGCTTAATTGATTCCATCATGCGTACTATCGATTAATTCGTAATTGGTTCCCGAGATGTTTTATGAAAATTCCGAATCAGTCGACGGTGAAACGATGAGAACCGGAAGAATAATGAAAAATAATGAAGATCAATAAAAATTACTTCGTGCGTGAAAATTTTACCTTCGGACATGATTGTTATTGTGTTTTTAATTACATTTTACATTGATTGTTAATCGCGATATTCAAAATACAAGGGGAAAAATATTCATGAGAAAAAAAATTATCAGTAATATCATTCGAAATGTATTGTAAACTGATTATTTATTACTGACAAGAACATTTGATAAAAATACACACATATATTGATTACTGATAAAAACATATCTACAACACCTCTTTGAGAAGATATATATTGTGTGTGTATATATATTATTTTGTACGTGTGTACATATATTAAATTATTTTATTTTCAATATTTTTTCTGCTTTGGATTAACAATCAGTGTAGTTAAGAATATATACATACAATATACTTATATTCCCTCTATCTTTCTCTTTCCCTAAAAAAAAGTAATTATTTTCATATCTCTATTAGTAATATTTTGTTAATTTTATAACATATTTTATTAAATATAAATATACATTATAAATTATTATTGTATACAATAGAGCAAATGTGAATAAAATTGCTATTTTTATATAATTC